AGAGGAATGTACTTCGTACAGAATTATGCATCCCCTTTTTTTAACTGAAACCGGTTGGTTTCAGCGATTCTCGCTAATAATTACTGAAGGTACTTGTCCCTTCACGGTTAAGACTATATTTCACGGTTAAGACTATCAAAATCGGCTCTGCCGAAATCACTAATGTACTTGACAAACGTGACAAGAAGACTCCTTCGATATTTATGAAAATGTGAAGTGTTAAATTAACACAAAGACTTCGCAGACTGAAAATTTCTTCCACGAGTTCACAAAACTTTGTTGCCATTGGATGAAGAACACTGGCAGTCGAGGAGATTATTCTCGTTTGCTCAGTAAGTAGCTGCGCAAAGTTCAAGTCTTGCCAAAAGCATAAGAACTCGTTGCTTTCAAATGAATACAAAAAATAGGAAAATATTGAAACCAGATAATATTCGTGTAGGTATAATTGCGAAATCAAACTGGGAGTTTGGAAATCCAGGACACAAGACACCGATACAACTCGATACAGTTTGACAAAACGTTTCAAGGCCGATAAAAAGTGCAATGGATAAGGTTTTGGTGACTTATCGGTAAACGTACACATACTAGTTCTAAGCAAAAAAGCAATGTTAAAAAAATAACTGAATTTAATCAGGAACAGAACCCACAACGTCTCCACATGTTTGCGGCTTTGCCATGGCAATATACTATTTACTCCGAATCACGAATGCACATTTTATGACCTCGCAATTTCTTGGAAAGTCATGTCTCTGTCAGCACTACGGAGACAGCTAAACATAATTTGGTAGGTAGCACAGCAAAATCTGACGCGTTTTTATCACACTTGTGATAATCCTTAAGAAAACTGAGACGCATATTCGAATCGAGTTCCTTAGGAGAGCAACAATAAATTAATATGATTGCTCAGACACTTGCTATTTTGCTGAAGAACAGGTGTATTAGGTGCAAATATTTCGTCATACTAGTTAGTTCGTACAATTGGTCACGCTACGCAGAGCCAACATAGCACATCCTAATCAAATTAAATATATTTTGCGCTATCTTAAAGGGGTAGTGAAACGAAATTTTAGCGCCGATCTTGTTGCATAAATATGGGCTAGGGACAGGCACCACCTCGGAAATATAAATATTGCGCTGTAAAACACAGGAGAACTAATTTTAAACATAATTAAACGATTTCAAATTCTCATCTGGTGGATGGGGGGAAGTTCTCGTGACATCACTTGTGCCAAAATAGCAGCGCCGTTCTGCGACAATACGGCGTGCCGGCAGAATTCGCCTAGGCCTGAACGCGTTCGCAAAGCCTTGGCGGAGAAAGCCAAAGCGTAGTTGGCCACAGTGAGCTCGTTCTCGTTGCGGCTCTTTGCACGACACGGCCCGAGCATGCTTCTGGCACGGCCGGTATTAGTTGCTGCGAATCGCGAGCTGCAAGCCGACGTTAAAAAGGATATGTTTGAACTACGAGGGTGTCAGCAAGGGCCACGCAAATGCCAAATACCTGTTCACACTCGGAGCGGACACGCGCGTTTGATCGAAGTGCTGGATTCGCTCTGTTAGACCGCGTTTCGGTAAGCGCTTCTGGACCGATCTTTTACGATTGCAACTCGATACTGACATGACACTCGGCAAAGAAAGGTTAGACCGACATCGCGTAGCTCCCACGAACTGCTATAGCTCGACACTGACGTAGCGTCGAGTCAGAATAAAAATGGCATACTAATAACAGAGTGTACATACCGAGTTGCCAAGGTAATCCGTATGGCGTTTATTTGAGCTCTATATCACACAAAACAAGGAGATAGAATCAATGAGAGTCCCTTTTCGACGACAGCGTTCGTCACCGCTGTCTCGGAAAACAAGGAGATCAAGATGACAAGGGGAAAATATTGACCTCTGAAATTTAGTTCAGGGATCAAACTACTCATCCGGATAAGGGTCCACAAGGGTCGCGCGTGCATATTCCATTCAGCAGGCCAGCCGGTCATGGACAGACGGTCTTGGCCAAGGACCGCCGGAGCAACGGTGCGCCGAGTCGATGTTGCTGCTAGGCTTACTATATTCTGCCGAGCTCGCTCGGTCGGCAGAATCGTGGCTGTTGTAGCTCTTCTCGTGTGTTTGTGGATCCTGCGTTCTTGATCGTGGTCTGTTTTAAGTACTCCTTCTTTTTTTCTTGCTGGTTGAAGTCGGGTCGCACGAGAAGAGCACGAAGAAAAATAAATGTCCGTTGGTGGCCGATACCAAGTAACTGAGCGACGCTGTCGGCCTTGTTGATTTGATCGTAAAAAGTGCGTAAGACAGCTTCGGAGCTGTCGTAGGATTCTGTCGTAACCTGCGCAAAGGTTACGACCATTTCGTTTCGAGAGCACGGGTTTTCTCTCAAATTTGTCGTACGCACTTTTTTCGTCGTGAATTCGCTTTGAGAATCCGGCCTCAGAGCTGGTTTTGTCAGTGCTGCCGTGGTTGCCGACTTGCCGTGGTCCCGTGGTGCAGCGTGCGTGCAGCCCTTGCACATCTCAAACGGCCACGTTGTCACAGGTCGTAAATCGTCGACGCGCCACCAAGTGGCAACGCTCGTAACCACAACATTCACGCCGTAGCCTTTCCCGACCGGCACAAGTGACGTCACGAATGCGCCCAATATCCCAAGACGCATCGCGCTCTCCGATGGCCGATTTTTGAGCGCGCGCCCAATCGGGCCCATCAGGGTGAAAAATATAGCCATCCGTTCAAAATACAAACGCGCGATTATGATTTATGAATATCATTGATCATATTGGAACCTATTTCTGACCATAATAGGTGTATTTCAAGTTTCGCTTCAGTATCCCTTTAAAATGCCATCAGATTTTTCTGTGATTCCGTGAATTTGAAGTTCTCTTGCGGGCGTTGCATTGTGACTGTGAACATTTCTTGTCCACTAAAACGTTAAGTGCTCTAATTTAATCCCTAATGAACCTTCATGAACGAAACGCTCTTTTTAGTTTTGGGTTTTTGATGTAACAAATTTCCCTATAACCCTTCGACACTTGTTTCGTAAACACGCGTCAAGTCGGTATCCGCGAATACCGGTTCTCTGCATTTTTGAGTTTGAGAACTTTTGAAAGCATAAAACAGACATTATTCTCAGATTTAGCGACTGCACGGGCAACCAGTCATTTAAATTATAAATATTTTTAAAAAAAACATTGTGTCGCCGAGAAAAATCTTCCAGCTTGTCAGGATGAGAACGTAAATAACCATTATCTTTCCAAACTTCTAAAGCCTGGCGAAAATTTGAAGTTGATATTCTAACCTTTGAAAAATATTGTGCACATTCAGGATGGTAACAGACCTCAGTAATTTTTACGTACGTCTGCTGTAGTTGCGTTTTTATTTCATGAACATCTCTGAGAAATCTTCATCGAGGTTCTTATTGGACTTTACACATGTCGTAAAGTTGATTTTCCCTCGTAGCCGGGCCTTAATATTTCTCGACGTCGCTTCCCAATTTTAGCGTCACATCATGTGCACTAAAACACTAAAAGGTATAGACTGCTTGATTTTTAAAGAGATGCTGGAAATGGAGCATTGCTATCTGCACGCAGAAGCGTATCACAAAGCGTTACAGACCTGAGGTTGTCCTTTGCTCATTGAAAGTGTAGACGGTCGGGTCCTGTTAACGTGTGGCGCTGCTGATTCCGTTCATAATGTCGCAGCGATATTGTACAGTTGGGAAAAAATGAAGACCTTGTTTAGCGACAGATGATGTTGCGATCAGTTCTAGTTGATGGCTGGTAGCTTATCTGCCACTGTATTGCGTGAGAACGTAAGCTCGGAACGACTGATTTTGTTGGCATGGTGAAGCACGTGCGAACTATCTGAACGCAAAAGACGCAACATACATAAGTCAACCCCATCGTAGTGCATTTACCGTGACCACTCTCTATAGGGTGGTTGTTTTCTGCTAGGCAATTTTATTTGAACTGTCTGTCACGGAAAAATGTAAAAAAAATCAACACATAAATACGCGTATTACACACAATTGGAAGCAGCAAATAGTGCGCATAAGCTTCATTCTGGACAATGCTCCTCTGTAGAATGATCGAGGGTGAAGCCAAACATATTCTTGCGTTGAGACGAAGTTCAGCTTCCTTCTTACTCTACGACTTAAAAATACACATAATTATTCATTTCATTTGTTTATTTTTCGGTATATACTACAGGCCTTTTAAGTGACCCCTGGAGCGTGGGGTACAAGCACAAGAAATAAAACTATAAGAAAAACATAAATGTACTCATTTTATCTACTGCTTTACACACCTTGCATTTTAAACCATCTCTCTTAATCATTGTTAGAAAGAAAAGCATTTATGTACACCTTTTGATTTTAGTTCAACATGCCTGCAAAATTTAATGGCAAACCAGAGTAGTCATGTAATTCCGAGAAGAAACATAACAAACGAATGGTAACAACCTATTGAAAAATCTTATTTGCATGAGAAATTTCCGTGTCCAATAAGCACATATGAGTCATACAAGATATATAAGAACCATTAAAGAACCGTATACGAAGTATATAAGACATATAGTCACACATAAGAACCATATAAGAAACTTGTAGGAAGTTTCTTACACGTTCCTTAAATGGGTTTTATATGTTCATAAATATATTATATAGTTCTTAAATAGTTCTCATATGGTTCCTACATGTTCTTATATATCTTGTATGATTCACGTGTGTTTATTGGACACAAAGAAATTTCTCATACAAATGACTTTTTCACTAAGGCATTGTTAGCAATATTCAAAACTTATAGTGCCTCTTCACAGGCGCACATTGGAAGCGATAGAGGTGCGTGCCTTACTTTATATTCGAGGGATGTGTTTCTTCTACCCTCATTGATCTGGATAATTAAGCGTTCGACTTAATATACACAAAAACAAAAGAAAAAAGTCAAGAATACACATCATCGAAATAGTTAAAGAGCGAATATAGTCCAAAAATACGTTTAATATTCCAGATGAAGGAACCGTCGACCGATCCGCTCACTAAGCAAGCTCTGCAGGCATTAAATAGAGAACAAAAAACTCTCTACAAGGGGTACATTCAGCGAATGGTAAATAGAATTGACTCGAAAGTAAAAGACCCACAAGAAGTCGCCGAGTCTATATTCGATTTTGAGGAGGACCTTTCATTTGTAAGTATTGTGCTTCCTGTTTTATGTTCAGCGCTTTTATAAAATCAACATTCTTGCAAATTGTTGTTGACAGCTCATTATGTGGAGTTATCGCACCGGTGGTTTTATTTAAACTAAACCACATTTCTCATATTGGGTTGCCAGACTTGGGGCCTGTTCAAACACACAGCGCGATGCTTATTGATCGCTTGCAGATGGCTGGGAACAGCGACAAGTCTAGCATTCGTATATCACTTTATATTACATAACTAATATAAAAAGGTTTGTGCCAAAGAAGCACAGCTCTTTGAAGAAATATTTTTTTGCCTGGCAATTTATTTCCCCTAAAAGCCCCAAAATCTAAGTATAATATCACACTTGATATTCTTTGGCCAGTGTTTGTTTATTTCTGACATACATTTTCAAACGACTGTCAGAGTTAAGCTCTACTGCCTGGCCGTTCGGTTGTTCCCTGGCTTCTTTGGATATTATTTGGCAATTTGGCAATTTCGTGGCAAAAAAAAAACGCCATAGAAAAGGTACTAAGATTACTTGGGCAATAACTAACACCTTTAAGGAAAAACCTTATTAAGCCCAAGCTTGGTCCCTAGGATTGCCGAACTTGCTTTATGTTTCGCGTTACCCTGGCGTGCTACGTGGGTGGTTTCTGCAGCACCGCTTAAAGTTTGATAGCTGAGGTGTTTGTTGGAAGGGTGTCCCAGGGCTTATCATTACAGTAACGTGACAATGCTTGAGAGCAACTTGTTAGATTATTTGAGCAATGCAGCTTCGTCAAAACACTGAGCATGGTCTAATATCGTTAAATCTTACCTTTCTTTGAACCTGTAGTTACCTCACTGTGGCTGCAGACGAAATCGAGCTCGGCATCACAAGCACTTTTTTCGCCGCCAGCATGAAATTTTATAAGATTACCTTTAATTTGGCGAGCTACCTCGCGGTACATCAAATTGTGTGGAGGGAACCACAGCGGTTAGAAGAAATACAGCATTAAATCAGTGCTAGATTCGGGACTAATTACAAGATTTCTTCAGCGCTGCGCACCACGTGTGAACTTGACTTAACTCGAAACAAAATTTTTGGGATATTCTTTTTTCTGAAATTAAATAAACTAATTTTAAGAACTACATAAACAATTTCAAAGCGAAAATTAGAATTCACCATGTTGAGACATGTAGAGAAATTTCGATTTTATTGTTTTTTATTTAGCCATTGTTTACAGGCTGATATGTTTACGCAAGCATCCTCTATTTGTCGCCGTAGTAGTGTACGCAACTGACGATATTTATAGGAAAACAGTGGAGATTTATTACTTCTCATTTTGTACCACACAAAGTGGCAAACCTGCAAAATTTTGCCTCGAATTCAGAGTGCTGTAGAAAATGAACCGTTAGAAACGTAAAACCACTATCATTGCGTAGCATAATAGAATGCTTAGAGGTATATCAATCAAGTGAGTAATGATTCTTTTATTAACTAAATTAGATGTAAATGTTCAAGTAAACCACGCTTTAAATATAAAGTTAATTTTCAAAAACCTTATTTCTATTATCTTCTTTTCTCTTTGGCTTTTTGGGGTTGAAAATCAACGAATACAAATATTGGTTGGTCTATCTGATGGGTTTGTGGCATTCAGTTCAGTACGTCGCGCTCAATAATTTATTTCCATATCCGGCTCCGATATGCTGGCTTCACCACTACGTTTTCGTAGAGTCATAAATAACGCACTTCACAAAAAGCTACCTTTTCAAAGGGCATTTCTGTGAGAAGAATTTTCACAACCCCTTAGAATCTCCCCAAAACATCATGTACGAATAAAATGGAGCTTTACATTATCTAAGAGTCATCTGTGCTCGGAGCGTAGCGGTGTAAACATTATACTTGCTTTTCTTACAACAAGTACTTTTAATATTTGGAATAATATATGAGGTATATAATGAATACCAACATCCTAGGGATTTTAAAATCGCCATTTCATGATATCAGCTTGCACTTCGGGCGGCATTTTTAGTTTGCATGTAGAAAAAATAACATAACCAAGGGCATCAAATTAGTGATCCTTTACGCTCTGGCTTGTTTGACTAAAAACAAAAAGACAACAGGGTTTTATAAAAAAATAGATAGATATTTATTTGGCCACAGCGCCGCAGGAAGACCAGTAGCCCCAACCGTGGAGGCCCACGGCGCAGCGTCTAACGATGGTGAAGTGGTTTTGTACAGGGAATGAAAAGACTGGTGATCATGGTTTAAACTAAGCTTGTGAACGAGAGTGAGCGGTTGATGTTGCGGCCGAAGAGGGTGATGAACGTTAGGCCCACTAGCAGTTTTCGCGACAGTGGTCTAGTGGCCGGTCTCGAGCGCTTTGCGAGGGATCCCTGCGTGCCCGGCTTGCAGACGAGCCGGCCAAATTTCCGGCGACGCAGAAATTTGATTTAGCACACCCGTGGTGGGGCTCCAGGGGTTGGCGCCGGTGTTGGCTGGGTGGCGGTTTTCTCAAAAGCGGGCCTTGAAATCTCCCAAGCTGCGGTCGAGCTTGTAAGTGAGTAGTGTGAATACCCTGTCGATTGAAGACATGGTCTGTGCTACTGGTACGGCTGCCTCTTGGACAATGGGGCAAAACAGGTCTTACGCCCAGCAGGCGATCTCTTCCTCCAAGTAGACTAACGTCTTTTTACCAGAAGGCTAAATATGCACGTCATATTTGTTTGTTAATAAACCTATACTAAAAGGGTCTGAAGCTATATACGTAGAGTGCAACTAGTCTCTAATCAGATATTTAAATAGTATAAACATAAACTTCCTCGTTCTAACTCCCTAAGTGACTGACAAGCCATTAGGGTTCTTTAAGAATTGACTGTCACACAAATTCCAATAACATTTAGGTTTTTTTAAAGTATCGTTTTGATTAAGTAAATTTGAGGCCAATATAGTCTTCTGTAATAAATTAGTATTTATCGAGATTTTTCCACTGTCCGTGCAGAGCCGGCTACTTCATTGTCATTATTGTCTGTTATATTTTGTTTTTGTTTATTAAGACCTACTGGTTGAAAAAGGACAGTATAGTTTGTCTGGCATCCGCAGGCTATGGTTTACGTAAGCAGTATTATTGATAGTTCAACGATCTACAGCGCTAAAAAGAAAAGCGCCTAGGTTGACGAAAATAATCCCTGGAGAAGGGGAACAAGGGGGACAAAGGACAAACATAAATCTTCAAACACAGCTAGGTGACTGGTGCGCGACCGAAAAAATTCGCCTGGTCCGGGTATTGAACCCGGGACCTCTCCATTACAAGTGGAGCGCTCTACCAACTGAGCTAACCAGGGGTTAGACGTTAGTAGAGCAAACGGGTTTCTCAGCTGCCACCAGTCGTACACCAACATCTAGGTTGTCTTCCAATTAATATTTTCGCTGCGTAGGCACTATTACTTGAATATTACATGCAGCCTTTTTTTAAATTACAACTTATAACCTTATATTCATTTTTGGAAGTGTAGATTCGAACTTTGAATCACATTCATAGGATGGTGAATTGTGTCGTCTTTAAATGAAAGCCTACGTAACATATCGCAATGTTAAGTGTTTCTCACTTAATCAACCTTTCTGACATAATCCAGTTACCGCTGACGGGTATGTCGTCACGGATGGAAAATGGTAGACGAGTTCAAAACTGAAAATGAACGTTACATGAGGCGAACTTGTGACTACAAATATAAAAAGAAGGCTACAACCCGCCTTGAGCATGGCGACTGAAGGGCGACAGTCCCGAACCAGCGTAATGCCGCTGCTTTTATAGATGTGGTTGGTTCAGGAATGTTCTGAACCAGAACATTCCCATGACAGGCATGAATGGTCTGAAACTTTCGAAAAGAGTACAACATATTAAAAGAAAGATCCGGGCGGACTGCGTTTTGAGCACTGTCCCTCCGCGTGGCAGTCGCGTGCGTCGCTAACTTCGCCACGTACGCGGCATTGCGCTCCCTCTAAAAAGCAGCAACCCGTTGCTTATTGAAAGACGAGCAAAATGAAAAGCTATCGAACTCTATTATATGTCTTGACATTCTCACAGTTTATCGTGGTTACTGTTCCGTCGGGCACTTCATTGTGGTTGCATTTTTCGAGAAAATGTTTACTTGTCGTTCGATATCAGCATGGGTTGTCGCTGTTGCGGTCGTCGTCGTAGGGCGACGTCGGCGATCGTCATAATAGGTCGTCTTCCTAGGTCGTTGGCCCAGGCCGTCGTTCTATGTCGTCGTCGTAGATCGTCATCGTAGATTATCATCTGTGATCGTCGTCGTAGACCGTCGTCGGGGTTCGCTTTCGTTAGTCAAAGCTCACCACCATTTGACGTGGGTCTTCATGGTCGTTGGTCATCGTTCGTAATTAATCTTGTCTTGGTCCACTGGCCTTCGTTATCCACATTGAGGGTCGTCGTTGTCATCCTTATACGAGCGTTCAATGTGGGTAAACGTTATCCTGCACCTCCTCCGAAAATATCCAGAATGACAAACAAAGGAACATAGTCAAAACTGGTAAAGCTTCAAACTTAATGCTGCAAACTTGTGCCAAAGCAAAACTCACAATAAAGTTCATCGCGGCGTCCATGTTGACGTAGCGGCAGAGTCGAGCTCTGGCGAAAGTATTACCTTGTGCTGCATGCTACGGCCATTTTTATAAAACTATGTAGAAGCGAAAGAGCAACTAAGTAGCAGGTTATATAGTTGTTTTTGTGACTTTGTTGAACCTAGTAGTTACAATATATTGAAGTCAGTACGCCGGAGACGAAAGTACAGAGGATATACTAATAGTTGCCCATTACTATAAGATAATTTATTGATAATTGTATTCATAAATACTTTCTTCTCATGTTCAGAAGTATAAAGATTATCCTAGCACGTTCTATGATTCAACGCGACAATAGCCGGTGAACGGTAGTGCTTAATCGCAGCCCTTGGCAATGTTTTGAGTGTTTCATGAGCATTATGAAAAGAATACAGCAAGAAGCA